TTCTCCATGGTTTAATGACGTAGAACGAAGAACGTGTGTGGAGACGCCAACGTGGTAAACTATAAAAACAGAGGAAACATGGAGGAGGAAAGAAGTCAGTCGACACAATTTGCTCCCACCAGACCTGAGATCTCTCTCGTACCCACAGATTCCTCTGAATGGTGGTGGACATCATACAGAAAATAAACTATAAGCACAAGCTGCGATGACGGCCTTTACCCACCTCCTCCGCTTCAAAATCATTTTAAAGTTGGGCAAACTTCGTGTTGTAACTTTTGTTTTTTGTCGCTATTAATACACGCACTGCGGGCTACACACAGAACAACTTTATTCTGTCCAACACCAGTGTGCATCCAAGCAAAGGCTACATCTTCAACTACAGCTAATGCTTGATTCCTCCTGAACGCCTACCTAGGGAGGTGTTCCAGGCATGTCCTACCGGGAGGAGGCCTCCGGGAAGACCCAGGACACAGTGGAGGGACTATGTCTCTCGGCTGGCCTAGGAACGCCTCAGAATCCCCCAGGAGGAGCTGGAGGAAGTGTCTGGGGAGAGGGAAGTCTGGGGTTGTCTCCTAAGACTGCTGCCCCCTCAACCAGGCCACAGAAAAGCGGCAGAAAATGAATGAATGAATGAATGAACAAATGGGCGTTATCAGTGGTTATTAGCTGATAGATATGGGACAGTAGGGGTGATCTGCACCTACTAGTAGGCTCAGAAGGCTGTTATTGTCCATCAACATGGTTAATCAGCTATACTAATAGAAAAGACATCAGATCCAGATCTGATTTTACATTACTGTGATTGTTGGGTTTAGGGTTGGGGTAGGGGTAGACGTTAATAAAATACAATTAATGAAAAATTTAATAAATATTGTAAATAATTCTCATGGCTAATCAGCTACACTAACAGAGAAGACTCCAGATTCAGATCTGTTTTTACATTACTGTGATGGTTGGGTATAGGGTTTGGGTAGACATTATAGGTGATCTGCCAAAATGCTAACCACTTAGCATATTATCTTTGGACGGCGAGGAGGGACTGTGATTCAAAGCCATGCCTCCTGAAATCGCAAACGCACGCACAGCGTCACAGCAGCAGACAACTAACTAGTTCATGTCATTCGCCAGTTAGAAATGTAGTCAGTGTTTGGTCGGCGTCGTGCAGGAATTACATTTATTACTTAACCACACTTACATTCTATTTCTGAGCGAATATTCAGAGTAGCATGGTGAACAGTATAGGAAGGCTGTCATTTGATTTGATTGGTCAAAAAATGGTGAGGGTGCTCGCTGCAGAGCCATTTGAGGAGAGCTGAGCTCCAGCGAGGGGGAGCATGAGCTGTCGCTCCTCCTCCTGTAAGCTGTTTTAATGCGTACACCAACCCCACCCCTAACCCTACCCCCAGTGACATCACTCGTAGAAGATGTGCAAGAAAGGTGGAGCTCAAGCTTAAGCTCCCCCTCGCTGGAGCTCAGCTCTCCTCAAATGGCTCTGCAGCGAGCACCACTTGCAAAAATGACCTAATGTGAATATAAAAGCATCTCCAGCTCAATAAAGCAGGTTAGCTTTATTATTATATTATTATTATATATTTATTATATTATTATTATATTTATTATATTATATTATTATATATTATTTATTATAGCGGAATAGCGCTATTTACTGATATTTTGTTGGTAATCTAAATACAAATCTACAATATCGATGCTGCCCCTTATAAAACTGAAAATAATCACATCAATCTTTCAACTGGTGATTTTAGTGGCTGAACAACATGTTTGTGCATATAATCCATTCATAACAACACAATCTAACATGAGCTTAGCCTAAAATAGTTAGACTAAAATAGTTTTAAAACAGAATATTACCCGTCTAACAGTAATACTTCGGCTATGCTATAATATGTCGTCCTTCCTCCAGCATGCAAAAGTAACTCCAATATTGATTCAGGCTTTTAAAAATGTTCAATTCTGCATTTGATTTCACAACGTCTGTGATTGTTTTGTGAACGCGCTGCGCTCATGCAGGTTAGCACGCGCGACTGGCAGATCTGCGTGAACAGATGCGCAGAAGTCCGAATCTACATTTGCTGACAGACAGTTTGAGCTGCTTATCGGAATTTTTCATATCCAATATTTAATTGGATTTTTTTTGTTTTGTTTTATGACTTAACCAGAATATAAAAATACATAAAAACACATATAGATCACTTGCTTTAATCACTACTATTGGACTGTGAAGAGACTTTAAACCAGCACAACAAAAATGTTTTTGAAGACAAATACTTACTGCACCTTTAATAAAATAATTAACATGGGTAACACTTCCTAATAACTACACAATATGAATCATTTATTTAGCATAAGCATATAGTGAATTCATTCTTTAAGCATCAACTCTACATTAATAGATGTTAGTAAGCAGTTTATAACTGCAGATACAAATGCTCTATTCTTGACTTTTAAGCACATTTACAATGTGCTTAATGATTGTATTTTCATAATTTGTTAATTATTATTTTTCATTAATAAATTAAGTATCATTTACAAACCAGTTATTTGAGAGTAGTCAGTGTTTTTTTGAAGATTATTCAGAATGCTCAAGTAAATGATTAATATTAATTAACTATTTAATAAACATTCATATATCTTATTATTCAGGCATGTACTAATATTTAATGTGTATGTTAATAAATACTTTAATAACTCAACTTCATCCAGTTTTGTGACCTAATCTAAAGTGAGGACTGTTTATGCTTTATAAATGACCTATGAATGATAATTAAAGGCTCAGTTATATTCTAAACAAGAAAAAAAGAGAAAATGAACGACTTTATTCATTTTTATTCATTTTTAAGATACACTAATAAAACTGAAAATGAAAAATTAATATTTGGAATCCTACCTATATAAAATTACTGTACAGTTTAAGCATCACTAAATAACATTGAAACGTTGTATCATATTATATTCTTAAATTATTATATTGTTGTTTTTTTATCCAAGTGTATGTTGTATTTTGACACTCCTGTTATTCAGCAATGAATAAACTACTTGTTAATTAGATCCTTTGCCTTTAATGATAATTTATAATGGATTTATAAAGCATAACTAGTCCTCACTTTAGATTAGGTCACACATAGAAAGTAGCTATTATTATATGCCTAAATATCAATATATATAAATGTTGATTTGAATGGTTAATTAACCATTTATTAACTCATTCTGAATGATCTTAAAAACCTCCAACTACACTTAAATACAAATGATTTGTAAATAAAGTAATACTTAATTTAAACATGAAAAATGTATCAGTCGAAATATGAAAACACAATCATTAAGCACCTTATAAATGTACTTAAGTCAAGAATAGAGCATTTGTATCGGCAGTTATAAACTGCTTACTAAAGTCTATTGAAGTAGAGTTAATGCTTAATAATTAATGAATTCACTATATGCTAATGCTTAGTAAATGATTCATAGTGTATAGTTAATATAATGTTACCGAAATTTGTTATTCAATATAAATAATTATTGTTAATGTCCGGCCACAGCCATATGATAACAGCCTTCTGAGCCAGCTAATAACCACTGCCCATAATGCCCATTCAATCGAGTGATAACATTCAAATCGGCTGTGGTTCCCTTCAAGTCACATGGCTCACCAGCAAGGTTAATGCGACTTCGCCAAGTAGAACATATTAATCACATTTTACTTGGCAAAATCACACCCATCTTATGAGCAAAAAGCAAATCGAAAGCATGTGATTGTGATCTTGATAATAATCTGTGTTTTATACACATAGTGAAGTATGAATGCTTCATGTTGTTGTACTTTCCCACAACATGTACCACACTAATTACATTTTGGCCAGTAGATGGAGTGTTTTAGACCTCATTTGCACTATTTAATGTCATCCTGGTGTATTTGGATTGACTAAAATGCATCAGCCAAATCATTAGGCTGCATTTGTATTTACAAATATGGCTATTTCAAATGCAAGAATTGTATTTATTAATGATCAATAAATTAATTTAGTTTATATTAATAGCTTCTGATTTAACATTTTCACATTTTTCTAGCCCCAATCTGAAAAGTTTACTTCTAAAAATTAAAAACCATAAAACAACTGAAGCAACATACACATCTTGGCATGTTTGAAGATGTTCATCTATTATTGAGCATTTCTCACTGCAGGCTTGTCTAATGCTTTCTCATCCACTGGTTTATTTATTGACGTGTCATCCCAGCAGGACTGATGCTTGCGCACAGAGATATACATTGTTGTCAAGTACCCAGACATATTAATCTAACTTTTGCTACTTTTTGGTGTATCCTTCAAAAACAAGGTGCTAAAATTTGTACAAAGTGTGTTGTTTTACCATTAATTTATGTTTATAAAAAGTAGTTTTTGTTAGAGTCTCCCCTCCTCCAGAAACTCATTTCGTTGTATTAATATTTCAATCACTTGTGCAAAACTTCCGAAAATTGTAAACACCTCATTACACAATGTACAATTAGATGCCAGAGCCACTTAACGTCAAAACCCACATTAAAGGCATTAATTTGCAGTTCCACTTTAGAAGCAAATTGACATGAAATAGGGTGAGACAGAGTACTTTTTTTTCCTGCTCCACATGTCGTTTGAAAATATTTGAATTAGTAATGTTTTCGTGCATTCGGAGCTGTTCAGTAAGATAACGGAGTAATTCAGAAGCAGTAGTTGAAACGCAAATGTTAAACCACATTGTGGAAACCTGTTTGATAATAATAAAAATGAGATGTTATAATGGAAATTACAATGAAGTGAAGTGGTAGAAATGCAAATGCTTAACCACTTGGTGGAAACCTGTTTGATAATAATACAAATTAGATGTTATAATGCAAATCACAATGAAGTGAATTAGTAGAAAAGCAAATGCTTAACCACTTCGTGGAAACCTGTTTGATAATAATACAAATGAGAAGTTATAATGCGAATCACAATGCCTTGAAATAAATGTAAACACAAAATATTCTTTATTTTTTTTCCGTCTTTAACTAAAGACTACACAGATTCACTGCTGTAGCTCTAAAAGGTATCTACATTTGCATTTTATTTACAGCCCGTTTCTTGTCTTCTTATTTACACTTTCCAAGAGAAGCATTTAGAAACACAGTGTTGAGAACAAACAAAAAAGTCCATATGAGTTCAAAAACAAAAAGCCTTACGACGTATTTCAGTGCAATTGAACACATTGCATTTTTTATCCTTCATTTGACGTTGCTTTTTTTTTTTTTAAATACAGCGATCACTGCATTCAATGACAGTAAATAAAACCAAAATATGCTGGACAATATTTTACAGCTTAAAAACACTTGATCTACTCATTTCAGTGAGCATCCCCGATTGATTTCCTCGAGAGCGACAGCAGAGGCAGATTCATGTAACGCCAATGCGCCTTCATGTCCGACATATTAACACCATCCAACCAGAAATAGATGCACTTTGAAGTTCACAAATCCAGATGGTGGGTTGACGTGCATTTCAACCGCAGGCCTTAATGCATCTCAGGCAGCACTTACGACATTGGTCTGTGCTTGGGAGACCCTCGGGGCAAAGGCTATTCACAGGGGTTGTCACCTTTCCTTACCACAATATGCAGCACTGACAGCACGTATTTCTTTAAAAAAAAAAAAAAAAAAAAGGAATCTGAGTGCACGTTTAAGTAATGTGCTTCTTTTTTTTTAAGCATTCATGCCACTTTACGCTTGAAGCGCTTATTTCACTGACAGACACGAGGATGTATACTCCTCTAAAGACACAGCACTGAAATAAATACTGTCATTCAGGAATGGTCCGTAACCGTGAAAGCAAATTAAATGAATCGACCGACCTTTTGGACTTTATTCCATGTGTTGAAACACTAGGCATTGTTCAAGTACAACAATTAGCAATAAAAAGGACAAATGTTCACATTTTTGAATGTTTCACAACTGTTATACTGTGAATGTTACCATGAAAAATTTTTTTTTTACTTAAAAACAAAGTCTCAGTAGCTCCATTTCAAAACCTAGCAAGCTGCCTTGCTGTCTCACAGCCTACAGAGGGAACTGCCTTTTACAGGCAGCTCTCTAAGTGATTTATTTGGATCCCCACATGCCAGACAAATAGCTCTATGCAAGGAAGAATGAATTTCAGTAGTCTAAAATGAGCATTTTGCTATGCTAAATGCACTACAGTCAAATAAATATTGTGCATACAGCACAAAAACACTGGGTAAGAGTCCAAAATAAGTTCAGACTATCTCTAACGTACAAAATCAAATACCTGAAATGTATATAATCGTCATTTAGAATTTTTTTTTTACCTACATTTATGTAGGTGTGTTCACACCATGTCATAATTTGTCATCATTAAATAAAAAAAAACCTTATGTTATTGTAAAACTATTTATTACTATTCGTAAATTAGAAATTTACGTGACCACTGTACCACCTAAGCCAGATTCAGTTGTGTTCTATGTTTAAGCATGGCAGTTTTTCCATAATTACATAAGGGATAATTGATGACAGCCTATTAAATTAATAGACAACAACACACACGAGGCGGTGATGAAGCTATGAAGCAAAGTGAAGTGGTCATTACATCTGGGGTGTGCACTACTTCCTAATAATTCATCAGGACAGATGTCAAGGGGATGTGTTGAAATTCTGACATGGTGTGAACACAGCTTGCAATGCTGCCTTAAATCTAACTAGGCTATTAGAACAAACTTTTAAAATGGCATCTAGGTAGGCAGCTCACTAGGTTTTGTTTTCATTCAAACAGTGCTGAATCATTTACACACATATCTTTAAAGACCACGGGGCTACCTATTTCCTACTTGTCTCCTAAACTCTTGTCAGTTAAGTTCCCTTTCCCTATGTGTTTTAAGCCATTTGGTCAAAACTGGAAATCATAATAAAAGGATGTTACCAGCAAACCACTCAGTCCCAAAATATTACAAGACACCACAACAAGTTTTGAACATGAGATGGGTTCAGTTAGGAATCTGAACTGGTAGCGATGCACTGCAAACACCAATGTTCTTGTTTAAGTATGACACAGCCGGTGGGCTTTCAAGTATAAAAAGAAGCGATTAAAAGAGGTCTCTCCTTGGCTGAGGCGCAGGAAAAGGCAGAGTAGAGTGAAGCTCGTGAATAACAATCTGCTCGTCTGGCAGCAGGCTGAGCCAGTGAGCATAATGCATTACCAGCCTTCTTCCTATATTCCTTTGAGCAAACCCACAAACACCAAGGCATAAACCGCCGACTCCGCCATATGCCACCTTCTAGCAGCCGCACTTGAAGGGCAAAGAGGGTTTAAGAATTACCAAAAGAGAGAAGGGCACTCTGCTGTTGAAACAGTTAAACTGTTTGCAATCGTGTATGTCATGTATTAAAAAAAGTCTGGCACAGTTAACATAAAAATAAAGTAACGTAATATGGTCACAAACGCAACTTGTCTTTGGCAAGAAGTCTGGGACGTCGAGTCCGAGCGAGGGTTTCCTTCGCGTTCATGTCACCTGCGTCCCATCTCAGTCTGTCGCAAGAAATGGACGTTATTTATGTTGTCAGCCAACTCTGGGAACTGGTCGACTGATACTATGTAGAAGCCTTCGTAGCCCTGTACACGTCCAGAGCTTAGGAGCTGCTGCCTTTCCCCGTCCGTCCAAGCCCGAGAGCCCTCTTCTCCTTGCCGTAGTCTGTGGCGCTCGTGGGCCCATGCGGTTGCAACCGCCCTCTGTCGTGCAAGCTCCAGAACTCTGACCTTTTCTTCATCCACACTGCTGCCGTAGCGTACATTAAGGCTTAAAGTACCGTATTGCATCTGGATGTCAGTTATGCGGCGCGAACGTCCTCCGAGGACCATGTTGACCTGCGAGACTGTTACGTTGACTCCTGTCTCCAGCGTACGCTGGCCGACTGTCATACCCAGCAGAGATAGATCACCCTCTACCAGACCTGATTTGACAAAGTAGTGCGTGTCCAAGCCTGCAATGGTGAAATGCAAGTCCTGCAGGTAGCTTGCCTTGTCTAGGACTGCGGCGATCCTTCGGCCATCTTCATTAGCCAGGCTGATGATGTCCGCTTCAACGCGACCTTCACGGATGGCGACTTTCACACCTTTCCCGAAGAGAGAAGTCCCTGTTGCAAAAAGTGTGTGGAGAGGGGTTGGAGGACATCCAGAATCACTTGCACTGTAGATCTGACCAAACCGCTCCAACCGGACAAAAGACTTCAGCTGCCTCTGGACTTCACACTGCACCCCTAGAACAGACTGCAAGAAAAAAAAAAACCTGTGAGTGTTCGCCCTGATCATGGGTGACTACTTTCATTGAGAGAATAAATTAAACGTATGATATTGCATCTCCAAAAACAGCATTCGCAATTACCGCTGGCCATAGCAAGGGCTGCGGCAGCATAGATCGAATGTGACATATTATGACATGGTTCATCTCAGTAAAACATTGTAGACCCTTGCATATGATTTTCACATTCATTAAGTTATCTCCTCCTGTGGCAGGCATCATTGCGCCCACCGCCTGCGCTGCTGCTTCTATTTCCTGGGAGTAAGTAACATTTCCTGATGGCTTGCGCAGGATGGGCGATCTCAGCGGGAAACTCTTCCTACCCCCACATTCAGCTGCTCGACTTTCCCCTCAAACAAAAATCGTGCTGCTTCATTAACACTTCAAACATTTCACCTTTCCTGATATAACTAGGTAGCATAACTCATTCTATTTTATGCTCAGGTGTGTGAAGTAAAGACTTTTTTTTGAAGATCTTTTAAATGTGCTGACTTGACGCTTTAATACTTAAACATGTTTTTTCATGGAGTAAACAGGTTCTTGTGTGATTATCCTCCACTAGCGCCTGAAGAGACAATCACTAGATAGCATTCAAAATCTTCAGAAACAGAAAAAAAAGCTTTATTTCCATGAATTTTTACATAAATGAGGAACTTGTTTTTATGACAAAAGTCAAGAAAGCAAACTCTGTAATCAATTGAAAACATTATTCTGTAATAAGAAAGGGTATAACTTAAAGGCTTAGTTCACTCAAAGATAAAAATTATGCTATTTTTTACCCTTGACCATACCCAAAGCCAAGAATTTTGTTCTTCTTCAGAATACAAATTAAGATATTTTTGAAGAAATCTGAGAGCTCTCGTATCCTCCATAGACAGCAATGGTCACAACTCATTCAAAGTATATGACTTTAGTAATGCAACTGGGTATTATCAACCTATGACAATATTTTTGTGCACACATAAAACAAACATAACTTTATCCAACAGTTTCAGTGACAGTATATTGTGCATATTGTATGGCACTATGCTCTTTATGCATGTCGTGCTACTGAGGTATACCTCGGATGCTTTGTTTCAAACAGAAGAAGCAACACTCAGACATTCAGGTGCATAGTGCTCATCAGAGTTAGGTGTAATACATTCCGCAGTAATTTCATTTTTAAAAAACGCAATAATGTAACGAATTACATTTTAAATTTGGGTAAGGTGGTAACAGTTAGTAAAGTCAATGTAATTGCATTATGTTCGTTACAAATATAGTTTTTAGATAAAAAAAAAATTAATACTTTTAAATCACAATTTCCACTGAAACGTCAGTTAATAAGCATGTGCTTCTAAATTGCTGGATAACGTAAGCTGAAAAAGTTGCTGTCGAGAGTGGTTACTTCTTCAAGTGGGAATACAGACATTACTTTGATTTCAACTACCATAAAAACAAAAATATTGCTGTAAAATTCAACTTTTAACTGTAGACCAGAAACTTTGTTCAAGCACTTGAATAGAAAGCATTCAACGACAGTATTTGTCACCAAGGAGGACATTGGCACCCAAAACAGAATGGCCCAACTCATCCAAAACAGGCTAAATTGAATTTTTGTGAAGGTATCTTCTGAATTTGAAGAGAAGCGTGGCTGCTTGGGGCAGTTCACATATTGTGTCATTTTAGCAAGCGTATATTGGGAACACATATTATGCACGCTCACATTTCCAAGGCACATGTGCCAAGAACTGATCGATCAGCTTTATACTTAGTATGGAATACACACATTTCAGTAGACTAATTACCTCACACAAACACAGAACACCCAAACACTTTAGTGTTTTTATTTCCTACAATGGCTGTCAATGGTTACAGGTATCCAGTTTTCTTCTAAATGCTTCTTTTATGTTAAAAAATGACAAACGGGATTGGGAAAAAGTAAACTCTAAAATAAGTTTTTTTGGGGGGAAATCAAAGTCTTTTGAGTATGTCAAGCTACTGTGATCAACCATTGTAATGTTTTTTTCAGTGAATATTAAATTACTGAAAGAGCTGCCAGTTTAGTATTTTTATATATGTATACTTTATAAGTTTTAAAAGTAGTTAGTAATCTGATTCCTTTTAACATTAAGTTATTAAATTTCAATTTTCAAGGAGTAGTTATTAATGTAATTAATGTAATTTATTACTTTTTTAAAGTAACTTACGCAACACTTGTGCTCATGAACGTGCACCCTATACTGACACTGAGGAGAAAAAAAAGTTAAATAAAAATCCTTTTTTTGTTTTGTTTCTGCACAATTGTATTCTTGTAGCTTTATAATATACCAATTAAACCTCTGAATATAAATGGACTGTTTTGAGGATTTAAAATAATTTTTTTTTGTATTTTTCTGAACCTTGAGTTTGTTGGGAACATTGCTGTATATGGAAGATGAGAGAGCTCTCAGATTTCATTTAAAACATTTTAAATTGTGTTCTGAAGATGAAGAAAGATCTCATGGCGTTTGAATGACAGAAGGAAGAATCTTTAATCCACAGACTCCATTGTAAAAAATAAAAGTACTTTCCTTAATACACGTAAATCTGAATGTGTGGATGCTTTTTGACAGAGATTGAGGTTGAAAAGTCAGGTTCACTTTTCATATTTTAACTTCTGCTATTTTTTGCCATGCATATACCACAAAGAATAAAAAAAAAACAGCATTCCTTGAAGAGAAATTAATACTTTCGCTTCAGTCCAACAGTAATGCCATTATAAGCTCTCTTCTCTTTTAATGTGACTTGACGGGAAATCCTCGCCCCAAGAGGAGATTTAGATAACCACGAGGGACCTACACATGCAGCTGGATTGTACAAGGCCTAGAAATAGCGTGTTGTGGGTGTCAGACTCCAGGGCTCCTGTCCGGAAGGAGAAACAGAGTCCAGCTGAATCTCTGGCAGAGGAACAAAGTTCTTGCGCTATCTGATATGAACCCTCAGAGTACATGTCCCCATCCCTCCCTCTTTACTCTCTGCTGAGTGTTGCCCTTCACTACAGATTGAGTTACTTAACTTGGAATAAAATAACTGCTCGTTTTAATTTATCATTTTTTTTCTCCTAGACAGTGATGAGATAAAGTGCAGAGCGTATGAAGCTTGCAGATGTTTCTCCTGATTAAAAGACCCGGTACTCCCATGTAACTGTGCTCAGCTTTACAGCTATCGTTCATTTCTGACTTCATATTTATATTCATTTAGAATAGTGGATATTTTTTAATCCCCTCACACAAGCACTTGTCAACACAAGCATCTGTTGTTTTAGTAGCTTGTTGTTTCATTTGGTCTCCTCCATTTTGTTCCCAATTTTCCAGTTTTGGTACTTTTGTAAATGGCAATAATTGTGTATTTCAGAACCAAACCGTACCGCTCAGTTGGAAACAAGCTATTAGTTTGTCTAATGCATCTTTGCATATTTCAAGGACAACATTCATGGAATCGAGACTCATAGTTTGAATACGGGACATATATAATTTTTTCGAATTTTCAAAAAAATTCTGAGATGCTAAGAGTTTCCCAGAATGGCATATATAAGTTAATGAAAAGCTTAGAAATAAAATAAAAACTTTAAAATAAAAAAAAATCCATTTTAAATGACAGTCTAAACATTTGCTGAAAAAATAAAGAAATATTTGATCAGTTTATGTGCATGTAAAGGCCCGTGCACAACGAGAAGTGGATAACGTTTTCCACTGAGTTTTAACGCCTCGGGACTAAATAAAGGGTGTCAATGTGATCTTGCACACCAACACGCAAAATGCCAGGCGTAAAAGCGTCATCTTAAAAATAAAACGCCTCATGCTCGTTTTTTTTTTTGTTGTTGTTCTTCTTCTCCACCAATCAGATTGGCACTGTTGTTCATGTGCACCGAGCTGCTTAAGTTACAGTAAACAGAACTTGGAGGCGCTCAAGTGCAAAACTGTCAATGCAAGCGCACATTGAAGAAGATGCCCAGCGGCGATATAAACGTGGAGCTGCTCATTGCACTGGTCAACAATAATCATTCCATAACAACAAGCGCGTCAACTTTGTCTTCTTCTTTTGTGTTACAAGCGGTGTCAGAAGCTTAAAGTTGTGTAGCGCCATCTAACGTCAAGGAGTGATTTTGCATACTCTTCTGCTCGACGGCAGTGAAAATCGCTTGGGTTTGAATTCAGAAAATGGTCTTGAAAAACACTGAGAATAAACGCAAACGAAAAGCGTCCCAATGTGTACGAGCCTTAAGAGTTGAAAAGAGTCAGTTTTGAAAAACTCAAATGTATACATCATGTGGAACTGAATAAATAAGCTTTCCATGCACGTATGGTTTGTTAAGATAGGACAATAAATGGCTGATGAAACTATTCGAAAATCTGTAATCAAAATGTGGAGAAAATGAAGATCTCAACAAGCATATAACTACTAAAATATATATTTTTCTTAAAGAATGATCTTTGATTAATATTCAAAAAAATATTGTATGCAGTTTTGGTTTTTGCCTATATATACACCTGCTACATAGTATTCCAAGAGTAGTTTTGTGGTGACAAAATAGAGAACATACTGTATCAAGTAAAATGCGTAGGCATTTAACAGACACATTCCTGCTACCGGTGAAGTTTACATTTAATTCACTATATTGGAGTTAAATACTAATCTAATCAAGACAAACTATAAATTATTGGAAAGACCCAAGTCTTCTAAATACACATTTAACCTATTTTATTTTTTTTTTCATTATAGTAGTGATATAGAGCAACAGATCAAACTCCATTTAATGTTACCCTTCAACCTATTGCACCATTGGTAACACTTTACAATAAGGTTAATTAGTTAATGCATTTACTAACATTAACTAATCATGAACAACACTCGTACAGCATTTATTAATCATAATTGAACATTTACTAATGCATTATTAACATCCAAGTCCATGCTTGTTAACATTAGTTAATGCACCATGAGTTAA